ATATATATATATATATATATATACTTAAAAAGACACTCAAACTAATCTTGCTCAACTCTTTGCAGCCTAAACCTTCTACTACACCGACCTCTCCTCGTCCTCAAGCTCAGCCCAGCCCCTCCATGGTGGGTCATCAGCAGCCAACCCCTGTGTACACTCAGCCTGTTTGTTTTGCACCAAATATGATGTACCCAGTTCCAGTGAGTCCAGGCGTGCAGGTAATGCGCAGCATGTGCTGCAAACTCATCAGCACTTCACAGATGGTGGTCAGGAAGTTGAGGAGACTTGGGAGTCACTGGATGGGTTGGGAGGGACCTTCAGGATATCTAGTTCCAATTTAAGAGCCCTGAGTTAAAACAGTGAAATGGTACAGCTTGTTTTGCTCTTGTGAATATAGATTACACTGTTGTTAAGTTTAGGTATGTAAATACTGACTTTTCCCAGTGCTCCCTCAGTCTGGATTTTCAGATAGCCCCACACACTTGTAAATTCCAGCAGCTCCCAGTTACTGTTAATCTGGTCCTCTAGGCATTGTCTCTCTCTCCTTCAGTTGTAAGCATCGGTTTCTTTGTCCTTAAGGTTTCCAGCTGTGTCCCACTAGTTTCTGGCTGTTTCAGGGATCACTGGGATTTCAAATCTAGCTCTGTCAGGCTTGGAGCTGTGCCCACTGCCCTGGGGAGCTGTTCAGTGCCCAGACACTTCTGGGGGAAGAATCTTCTCCTGATACCCACCTAACCCTCCCCTGACACAGCTCCATACAGAAAAGCTGCTGTAGGACTGCTGGATTTAGCCCATTGCTTGCAGCAGCAGTAGCAGCACTGCTTGACTGGTTGTTGCAGACCATATGGTCTTAGTTTGTTTGTCCATGCAGACATGACGACACCGATCCAGGAAAATCTCCTAGGTTAGGCAGAGTTCACTAAACCGTGTAACATAACACATCAGAGCTGAGTGGGGTCCCCACTCAGTTTCTAAGGGAATATCACAGCCTCCACTTCTTCTGTTTCAGCCTCTGTATCCTATCCCCATGACGCCCATGCCAGTGAACCAAGCCAAGACATATAGAGCAGGTAAAGGTGAGAATAATACTGCCTGTTTGGTTCTTAGTCTGCATGCAGCATGGGTCAATGCCAAGCTTTGTGTGTTTCCTAGTCCATGGTAACTTGTTTTCCATTGACATGTGAAATGCTGTTTTTAATAAAGGGAAGTCAGTGGAAATGCTAAAGGATTTCTAGATAAACCAATTCAGCCCAAACAGGCTCGGTTTGAGTAATGGGGGGTTGCTTGGTTTGCAATCTGATCTGACAAATGGGAGCACAGCTCTGTTACTTGGAACATTAGGGTAATCTGATCATCTCCTGTATATGTTTCATAAACATTATGGGTGTGTTTAAAGGGAACTTCTGTGCTGTGTTCTGTGGTGATTTGCAGCCTTAAATGATGCTGTAACAAGGGGTTTGTTCTCAGCAAGCAAAGTCACTGTTTCTTCAGCAAGAGTGTGCTGTGCTGCTCCTCTGGAAAGAGCTCACTGCTGGTTCCAGTTTGTTCCTCTGCATTCCTTCTGCCCCAGTGACTGAACAGCTGGACTAACAATACATGTTTCTAACAAGTGACACCTGTGGCTGTGGAGACAGAACATGTGTGGCCAGAGGCTCTCTGTGCCGTGCAGGGCAGCGAGGGAGCAGAAAAGTGCTGGCCTTGTTTCTGCAGTCCTGTTTCTGGGAGTCTCTCTCCCTGCACAGTGCATGCCTTCTTGCAGCCTTAGCCTGTGCTTCGTGAGGACAGGATCCAGTGCTGCAGCTCCAGTCACTGGGGGAGGAAATTGTTTCCAAGAGCAGTCCTGCTGTTCAGGAGCAAACAAGTGGCCTTTATGAACGTAGGGGAGACAAAACCCTGCAATGTATTTCTGTGTTAAAACACAGTAACTTCACTGTGGCCTGAGCCCTGAAACCCTTTGGTTGGTAACACTGCTTTAATCAGAAACCCATTGCTGTGTGAGGCAGCTCCAGTTCTGAATTCCTTTTTTAAGTCTCAGTATTTTCTGCATATCCATCTGTGCAGCACAGCCCTGAGGGAGCTGCCTGGGCTACAGCTCAGTGCCTTAATGCTGCTCAAGTTGCCTCCTGTATTTACTGCTTTTTGCTCTTGATTTGCAGTGTAAATACAATCATCATTGAGGGAATCTTCCACATTTCCCTCCTTTCCTGTCCCTAAGGGCTCTGTGTCTGTTGCCCACTGCAGTGTGGAGTGTCCAGGTGCTTGGGGTAGCTCAGTCAGTAATTCAGCCTGAGTGCAGCAAGCTGGAGCTCACCTGGAGCTCTCATGCCCACGCTGTGCTGCTCTGCCCTTCTCATCTCTCTTCCCTCTTAGTTGTTCCTACCTCTCATCTTAGAGGTTGGATTGTGCCCTTCAGTGTTGTCTGTGACCTAGAAGTTGCTTTCTGCTATCCTGAGGCATAGCACAGAGCTCAGAAGATGTGAATAGCTCCAGTTGTGGCTGTGTGGAGACCTTTATTCTGCTCTCCTCAGCCATAAGCACAAGTTGTTTTACCAGACTCAGGTTCCCAGCTGATGGAAGAGTAGCTGGGTAGTTCCTATAGGGGGTGAATTGAGCCTTTTGTCGGGGACAGGATCAGGTTTGATTAATGTAAGTGTCCTGATGTAACCTTTCTCTTCCATCACTGATTCTTGTCAGTATTCCTCTCCCTCCACCTTCCTTCAGAAGGAAAGCAGAGCCATGTTTGTTGCCATATATATGGCCCAAAGGCAGTGCTGAAAATCAAGTGTTTCTTGGAGGAACTGCTTTCCATACTGTTCATTTTGGATAGAGCTTTAATACATGGCTAAGTGTGAGGGCTGAGGATACTCCACATGGTCACAGTGACATTATAATGTAAAATCTTTCAGGAAGATCCTCATCTCTCATCTTGTGTTTCTAACATGAGGCACTCTTTGCTTTTTAGTACCAAATATGCCGCAGCAGCGACAAGACCAACACCACCAGAGCACCATGATGCATCCTGCCTCAGCAGCAGGACCTCCAATTGTAGCTACTCCACCTGCTTATTCAACACAATATGTTGCATATAGTCCCCAACAGTTTCCTAATCAGCCTCTTGTGCAGCATGTGCCACACTACCAATCTCAGGTAAGAGTCCTCTCTGCACCTGGTCAGCCCCAACAGGGAGAGTGAAGTGTCTCAGACCCAAGTGCTCCATTGTGTCATGTCCTGTCACTCGGAGCTGTTCCGTGTTCTGGAGCATACTTGGTGGTCTTGTAATGTGCTTCAAGGCCTGTAACCAATTTGAAGGTCAGTTTGGAAGTTGGCATTTATTACTGATGTAACTTCTAGCTCTTCGAAGAGTTCCTTTAGGCCAGGCCAGCACATCTCCTAGTTAAGACATCTCTTAGTGTTCTAAAAACAACCTATTGGGTGAGCTCCTCGTACTTCAGAGGCTTTTGGGTATACATATGCAATTGGATAAATATATTATGACATATCAGAGTGACAAAACCTCAATGTGCCAATGTTTTTTTGTGAGTTTCTAAGCCTTCAGTTTAAGAACCAGTTGTTGTAATTGCTCAGTTTGCTCTGCACTTGGGTTGGGCCAAACAGTGTCGATTTCACAGTACAACTGTTGAGATAACACTAGTTCCTTTGTAAGGGTTCTGCAATTAACTGTGTTTTCTTTCTGTTGCCTGCAGCATCCTCATGTTTATAGCCCTGTAATACAGGGCAACGCTAGGATGATGGCCCCACCAGCACACGCACAGCCTGGTTTAGTATCTTCCTCTGCAACACAGTACGGTGCGCATGAGCAGACGCATGCTATGTATGGTAGGAAACGTTTTGTGTTATATGTAACTTTCTAAGGTCTTATGTGGTGCAGGGATGTGTTTAATCTCAGCCTTCAGACGTGGGTATCACTCAGTAGATGTGGTTTGTGTGTCGTAAGATGATGAGCAAAGCGTTGAAAACTGAGCCAGCTGGTTCAAGTGAAAACTCGAGTGTGCTGAGTTCGGTAGGATGCCAGTGACCAAGATGAGATGGCAACCTGGGAGCTGCTAAAGAATATCTGCTGAAAGAAGTTTGTTCAAGTCCTTTTGACACAACACCCCTTGATTGTTTCTTGATTATAATTAGGACTTGTTTTCTTGCAAGGCTCTGACCTCAGTTTCCAACTTGACTTTAGTTCTGACAACTAGTGAAATGCTGTCTTGATGGTACTACTAGCATTATTAACAGTCTGAACACTACTGTTGAAGCCAAATAAACCATGTGTTGCTTACCTTTCTCTTTGGGTAAGTCCAGAATATATGAAAAAGCTCATGTATTGCTCTGACTTTGACAATTGGTCTCTAGCATGGTCAGATTGGGCATGTTCCACTTAGCAGTGAAGTGCTGAAAATGTGGGTTACCTTGTGACAAAAGTCAAATGTGCAAGAACTTCTAAAGCATTATAAATGTATGATAAGGTCAATGCCCAGTTTGGAGGAGCAAAGCTCACTGCAAAACGTGCTATTGGAAGAGGTAGAATCGAGGTTGCTAAAGGCTTGGAAATTGTCATATGCGATGTCAAAACAGCAGATGGTCTTGCAAACGTGGCATTTCAATACTTGTTACAGCATCCGAGGAAAACCTTGATTGGGTCACGTATATTACTGACTTAGACTCTAATAAAAGATTTTCTGTACCTTTAGACATCTTTGTATGTTTTCTGGTGCTTAGTTTTACACTGATACTTAATGGAAGTCCATGATGTGTCATGAAAACTTACAAAGCTAAGAACCTGGAGTTTAGTGTGAAATGAGTTCTGATTTCAAAGTGTCTCTTCCCCATCTGAGGACATCCTCTCAGATCTCTGCAGTGCTGTGGTAACAGAGCTAAGAAACAAAAAGAACAGAGAGAAACCTTTTTTGACGCTTGGAGGAAGAACATTTGAGCTCATTTGTGCTGAAGTTGAAATGGAAGTTGCTTGTAGAGATTAATCTTTCTCTCCCAGGTCCTTGCTAATTGTATTACTTTGATCTTTTCGACTCTCGTGCTTGAGGTGTCCATGTAAACAGATCTTCTGTTTGCTTTTGCACTAGATTAAATAGAACTCCGATAAAGTGGTGATCAAAGGCTTTCGGGCCTTTATTGGTGGAAACTCTCCTCTCAAATCCTAGCTGAAATAAAACCAAACATGAGATAAGCTGAGATTTGATTCACAATGGTTGCATGTGACTTCCTAGCAGTTTCCCATTGTGCACCATCCTTATCTTCTGTAACCAGTGGGTTCTGCAGCGCTGAAGTACAAGCCCCTTCCCTTGGTTGGCTTTGATCAGATGTCTGTATAGTTTTTTCACTGATGCTCTAATTTACAACTGTTAGATCTCATTTTGTGTTGGTTTTGCAGCTTGTCTGTTGTAGGTATGTCACTACCTACCAGTGCAAACAACTAAGTTGGGTCAAACTTGAGAGTTCTTTGGTATTTCCTGCCATGTAATTAAATATTACTTTTCCAAGAACACCTAATTTAACAGAAATGGCTTGTCCTCCTGTGTTCTTTCAAGTAGCTACTTGGTGACTCTTCCAAACACTCTCCCACCTTCCCAGTAAATGATGGAGTGCTTGACATTCTTGTTACTGGAACCATTCAGCCCAAGTGGATCACGAGCTCCACATGCTGCACCTTGGAAGGAGTGTGTTCTTGCCCTGTGTTCAGTGACCATGAATTGCCTCAAACGTGCCCTGAAACCCACCAAGTGACAGTTCTGCTTGGAGTGACTCCTGATGTGCTGCGGCACTGTCTCAGTTCACATTTCTGCAAGTCTTCCATGTGCTGAGTGCTTGAAGACCTTGCCCAGATGGACTGTTTCCTCCAGGGTGCCCAGCTGTAACGTGCTCAGCTTCCATTTCTCCAT